GGGGGCTCATCCCAGAGAAAAGGGGGCTCAGGGGGGACCTTTTCCATTCCTACAACCCCCGGCAGGAGCGGGGAGCCCAAGGGGGGTTGGAGATCCGGGATATTCCTCCCAAAGCCAGGATCAGGGTGTGGGGGATGCGGGTTCTTGGCACTGGGACATGGAAAAGGTCTGGAGAACTCCCGAGGGAGCTGAGGGGGCTCATCCCGGAGAAAAGGGGGCTCGGGGGGGACCTTTTCCTTCCCTACAAACCCCCTGACAGGAGCAGGGAGCCGGGGGGGTCGGAGAGCCAGGATATTTCTCCCAAACCCGGGATCAGGGTGCGGGTGGTGCCGGTTCTTGGCACTGGGACACGGGAAGGGACGGGATCTGGGCGGGGTTTACGAGATTCCCAGGAAATCCAATTTATTGGCTCTAATTAGGGCTGGGATGGGGTTTTAATTGTTGCTCATGACGTTGGTGACGGGAGGAGCCACTGGGATTTTGGGTTCCTGGCGTTGGAGACTGGAAACACGGAGGAGATTCTCCCAGTTTGGGATGGGGGGAGCAGGAAATATCCGCTTTTATGGAGCACTGCTTTGTTCCGTGCATCTCTTTTTATATTTATATTTATATTTATATTTATATTTATATTTATATTTATATTTATAGTTATAGTTATAGTTATATTATTTATATTTATATTTATATTTATATTTATATTATTTATATTTATATTTATATTCATATTCATATTCATATTTATAATTTATTTTTATTTATTTATATTTTAATTTATATTTATGTTTATATTATTTATATTTATTGATATTTACATTTACAATAATATATTTATACTTATATTTCTTTTATATATAAGACACATGATATGAATTTTATATAATATAAATATAAATACAAATATATTTATAATTTATAATATATAATATTTATATTCATTACAGGGATATAATAAGCAAATGAATGCCCATGAATGATTTATCCAACTATTTAGTGCTTTTATGGAGCACTGCTTTGTTCAGGGTTGGGAATATTCAGCTGGGATGTCATAAGTGCATATTTATATTTATATTTATATTATATTATATTTATATTTATAGTTATAGTTATAGTTATGCATATATTTATATATTTATATTATAGTATATACAATCTATTATATATAAATTGTATATACTATAAATATACCTATATTCATATTATATCAATTATATTATATTATATTCATTTATATATAATTACATATAATAAATATAAATATATATTTTATATCTTAAATATAAATATATAATAATTATATATAATTATATACCATTTATTTTAGATTTATAACATATTATTATACTATATTTATTTATATTTATTACTGGGATGCAATGAGCAAATGAATGCCCACGAATGGTTTATCCAACCACTCATCCATGTGGCAGAATAATCTTCAAACTACACGGTATAAACTATTTCCTTTCATTTTCACCTGGTCTTACGAAGGCTCAGCCTAATTCCATCTTGCTCCGAGTGCATCACACGATTGTGGTGCCGAGAACAAACTGTGCCAGTGGAGTCTGGGACGGGAAATATTCCCTGAAAATGAGAACAAAACCAATCAAAATGGAATTTGAATTCCATGACTTCTGCGGGATTTGTCCCTCAAACCTCAAAACAGTCCCGTGGGTTTTACAGCGGAACTTCAGGAATCCCTGATGGGGACACGCAGTGAGTGGAGAATTCTATCCACGGAGAACAAATATTAAACACAGCAACAAAAGCATGTTCAGACAATTTATTTATTTGTTGGTTTACAATTGATCCATTGATCAATTTATGAATTGACAATTATTTACCCATTACAATTCAATATCTTCCTCCTCCTCTTCTTCCTCCTGCTCCTCCTCCACTGCCTCCAATTCCTATTGCACATCCTCCTCGTCCTCCATCGCCTCCTCTTCCTCCTCCTCCTGCTGTTCCTCCTGCTCCTCCTCCTACTGCTCCTCCTGCTCCTCCTTCTCCTCCTCCATGGCCTCCAATTCCTATTGTACATCCTCCTCGTCCTCCATCGCCTCCTCTTCCTCCTCCTCCTCCTCCTCCTCCTGCTGTTCCTCCTGCTCCTCCTCCTACTGCTCCTCCTGCTCCTCCTTCTCCTCCTCCATGGCCTCCAATTCCTATTGCACATCCTCCTCGTCCTCCACGGCCTCCTCTTCCTCCTCCTCCTCTTCCTCCCTGCCTTTCTTCTCTTCCTCCTCCTCCTCCTCCTGCTGTTCCTCCTGCTCCTCCTCCTACTGCTCCTCCTGCTCCTCCTGCTCCTCCTCCACGGCCTCCAATTCCTATTGTACATCCTCCTTGTCCTCCATCGCCTCCTCTTCCTCCTCCTCCTCCTCCTCCTGCTGTTCCTCCTGCTCCTCCTCCTACTGCTCCTCCTGATCCTCCTGCTCCTCCTCCACGACCTCCAATTCCTATTGTACATCCTCCTTGTCCTCCATCGCCTCCTCTTCCTCCTCCTCCTGCTGTTCCTCCTGCTCCTCCTCCTACTGCTCCTCCTGCTCCTCCTCCTTGTCCTTCATCGCCTCCTCTTCCTCCTCCGCTGCTTCCTGAGTTGCCTCTTCCTGCTCCTTCTTGCGCCCACTCTCCACAGCTGGGTGCTGGTATTTCTCTCATCTTCATCTTCATCTCCTCTCCTCTCTCACAGGTTCTTCCCTGGGCTTGGGATGAGGTTGATGTTCCTCAAGGTTTGCACTCGCGGCCCCAAAATCGGCTTTTTCTGACCAATTCTGTTGCTGGCGCCCGTCAGGGTTGGGTGGAACTCTGTGTGG